CATGGGTTTGTTCAATTGTTCCTTGTACTAATGGATATCAGTAATATGGTATTTGCTGTTGTGCTTATATTTCTTTCTTCATTTAATATCCATGGACAAATGCATCTCCTATTGTAGCTGAATCATGATGTACAGAGTGTTATTGTTTGCAGTCAAAGGGTGATGGTTTAGATATAACAAGGGATGACCTTTCTAAGGCATTAATGGTATGTCTTTTATATCTCTTGTTCATCTCCAAATTTGTTTTAAGTGGTTTTCAGTTTATCTCCTATATAAGAACCACTTTCATATGTCTTGCTTTTGTATATGATTATCATTTTACCTTTTATTGCTATACTCTATACTCTGAAAATCTTCAAAAGGAAAGTAAGCAATTGATCATGTGCTGGGTAGAAAAATTGATGTCATTTATTGTCAAGTTATGATTATGTACCACTTGATATGTTTTATGCTGCAACTTCCTTTTCATGCATGATTCTTCCTGTTTTCTATTTGAACCTCTTTAGCTTCTAGCTTTGTCTTGCTCTAATCATTTTAACCGATGATCATTAATTTATAATATTATAACGGTGAGCAAATTTGTAACTATCAGCAACCTTTTCCTCTGGAAGCCTGTCTATTCTTTGGTAGTGCTTGTATGTGTATGATGAGGCAACTTTACATCAGTTCTGTTAATATCTGCTTGCTCATTGCAGGATGCTTTCTCTTCATCTCCACTTTTCGAACCATTTGTTATCCCATTGCTCCTTGAAAAACTCTCCTCATCCCTTCCATCAGCAAAGGTTTGCTCTAAAATCCTGAGATTCATTATGGTTTGTTATAACTATGGGAAAAACATATTAGTCTGATAGTTTGACAAATCTTTGCAGCTTGATTCTTTGAAGTATCTTAACAGTTGCTTGCGCCACTATGAAGCAGACAAGGTGGTCAAGCATTCTCAAGTTATCTGGTCTAATTTGAAAGATGTGATCTTTAATCTTTCGCCACATAGGTCTTCATTATCAACTTATGGTTCCAATGGGGATATGGATTCTGAGGTTAATCAAATTGCAGATGAAGCTCTAAATTGTTTGCAAACAGCTATTTCACACTTGAATTTTCCAGATCAAGATTCTTTCTTGTGTTTGATTATTGATGATGAAGATATAGGGACAAGATTTTGGTCTGTAACAAGTATAAAAAAATATTCAGGTACTTCAACAGAAATCCATTGTCAATTAAGTGCTCTTGGAAGTATCTTATCTATTGCATCAAAGGTATCCATATATTGCTGCACCAAGGTGTTTCAGAAGTTCTTTTCCTGCCTAATGGATATTTTAGGAGTTTCAGGAAAGCATCCATCTAAACTTTGTGTTACTGACCACAACACATGTTCCGATGGATTGAATTTTGGAGCACTTTATCTTTCCATGGAACTCCTTACTTCATGTAGAGAATTGACTTTGTCTTCCAAGGAATTTTCTCCAGAAGTTATTTCGGAACCAAGAAGCTCGTTTTATGTGCTAAAAAATATCTCCAGAGAGTTATGCGATGCTCTTGGGTCAATTTTGGAGACACCAGAGAGTGAAGAACATGTTTATTGTGCAGGTAATGTTTACCTTTTGTGACTTTCTTACTTCAGTATGCTTATTCTTGATGTACTTGTATAGTTCATATTCCTATTTAGCATGACTTTTGTTTGTTTTGTCTTCAATTTCATCTGATAATTGACTTTCTTGAAGCTCGTGTTCTGCATATACAGATAGTAGATAGCATTCCATTCTCCTCTTATTGTTTGTGGATTAACTTTGAATTGCATCTACAATGTTAAATCTTGTATTGCATGATGTGCTTATGGGGTTCATTTCCAGTTTAAGCTGGTTTTTGTGTAACATATGTCATTCATCTTATTATAATGAAGACATGGTACGGATGTATTCAACATTCTATTTATTTTTTGTTTTAATTTGATTCTGTGGAGTACTATTAGGTATTTTCTGCCAAGGTTTTAAATCTTATTCTGGTACCGACTTTAGTAATCTGTGTGCCAGAATACCGACCCACATTGCTTGTGTTAGGACCCTTTTATTTTATGAGCTTTGAATAATGTTTATTGAGTCCAAGGTCTGTCATACCGAATCGTACCGCTTGGTACGGGCGGTATGTACCGGTTCGACTGTAGCACTGCAACAGTACAGTTTACTGTTGCAGTGCACTGTTATAGTGCAGTACAGTGCACTAGTCACTGTAGCAGTGCTACAGCTCGGTGCACCTGAGTGTACCGCTCGGTACACCGTACCATACCGGTATTGAGCCCAGGTCGAAATATTGGTACGGTACGGTATTGCGAACCTTGATTGAGTCTGTTTAGTTCAGTTAAAATCGGATAGAAGTTTATTTAATATTTATTTATTATTAAGAGTCCAAGTCTTGATGGACTCTAGGTGGAATTCTATAAATAGTGATGTAACCCTTTCTTTAAAGCAATCAATGAACCAATCAATGAAGGAAATATTATTCTAGTCTGTGGACCAAACCCTAGGAGGCCGATCAACTCGAAGCGATCAAGGAGGCCGATCCCCTCGAAGTGATCATCCCCTTTTCTTCCATTTCTTTCATTTCTTTTGCGATAAAACCTTAGGGTTCTATTGTTTGGTAACAGATCATTTTACGATAAGACTTTAGGATCTTATCAGCTTGATACCAGTCAAAGTTTAATAAACTAATAATACTGAGCTGAAAAACAACAAAATGGTGGTATTTGGATCTTATAGTTTAATCAGGTCTTCTGCCGGACTGGTAAATAAGAGTCAACAAGCACCACACTGGTATTCGAAACTCTTTTTGCAACAGCTCATGCATGTCATTCTGATTTTTGTTTCTATTTTGTCTTATGCAGTGAAAGGTTTGCAAGTGCTTGCAACATTTCCAGAAATCTATTCACCTGTTTCTGAGGCAACTTATGAAGATATATTAGTGATGCTTATGTCAATAATCGCTAGAAGGAGCAAGGAAACTTACTTGTGGGAATTGTCTTTGAAAGCCTTAGTCCAAATTGGTTTGTGGATTGAAAATGCTCATGATTCTGCAAAAGCAACAAGTTATAACAAACTTGTCATTCAGAGAATTGTTTCCATGCTTCAATCTAATGATTCTACTATCTCTCTTTCACTGAAACTGGTTGCAATTTCTGAAATCAGCAGCATTGGCCTCTACCTGCTAAGAATAGTTCAAGCATTTGAAGAGGCTATAGTTTCCAACTTAAGAGCTTGTGTATGGGATTTTTTTTTCTTTCAAAATTTGATCTTTTAGTAATTTTTTTCTCTTAATCCTCTGAAGATGATGAACATAATATTTCATCTTTTTTTTTCCTGTGTAGTTTGAAGGAAATCTAAAATCTTCTGATGTTTTAGTTCCTCTGCTCCAGTGCTACTCCAATCAGGTGCTTCCAAGGTACAAACTAAATACATCCATCTTTTCTTGATCTTTGCGAACTTGTAGATAACATTACCTTCTAGGGTTGCACACAGTTTAGGTGCATTTTTTCCCCTAATTTTATTTCCTAACATTGATTTAAGAGAATTCCTAGAAAAAAAAAATTGATGGAAGAGACTTTCAAGTTGATGACCTTATTTAGGAAGCACATGTCTAACTCAGGTGTATAATATTCACCAGATGATTGAGAAGTTTTTCTGATGCAAAGTAATGAATTTACTTTATTATTTGAGAACTCAGTTCTGTTTTTGGCTGGCATATGATGCCTTTAGGTAGAGGCACTAGGCATTGGCACACATGGAGTTTTGAATCTGCAAGCATGTGATGGGAAAAACACAATTTCCATAAGATGGGCCACTGTCTGTGTTGGTGACCAACACTCCCTGCGCCCTGGTGTTGGTTTGGTATTGAAAAGTAGATGAGTTGTAAGATTTTGGCTAGGTCATGTTCTTTGCATCTACTGATGGAACCATGTGACTTGTTAGTTGCTAAGGAGCTTCTTTGTTTGAAGCTTTAATTTGTATATGTTAATGCCTAGTGAAGGATGGGTGTTTTTGCATGCATATGTATGTTTTATAGACTTTTGTGTCCTTGTGTTCATAAAATCAAATAGAACACTTAAATCTTTAAACTTCTGCTTATTGTTTAACAACTTCCTTTCCAAATAGATGCCACACTTGCGGAAATTTCAATGATATAGCTGTTCAAGTTGCTGTCAGTATATGGAATCAAATAGAAAATGTGGCTGTTTTCAGGAGTTCCATACTAATGAAGGTACTGCTGCAAGACTTGATATTATAATTATTTTTGGCTGCAAGCTACCATAATTGTCCAGCATTCAATCTTAGTAGCATTGATTTCTTTAGCATAGCCACTTTTAACAAGTTTGATTATAGTTGTTTTTAACTTAGAGGTCTGTAGCATCAATGTATTCTGTTAGTGGATTATTTATGTGGATTTTGCTGAACAGAACTATATAACTGCATGACAAAAAATTAAATACTTTGGTTTCAGGATGTTCTTGATCAGGTTATGATGACAATGAAGCATTTAGTCGCGGGATGTACAGAGGAAAGCCAGTTCTTGATTTTACAAAAAGCGTACGGCAGTCTTCCAAAGACCTTTTTTATAGCGGAGCCATTGCCCTGTGCTTTGTCACAACTTGAAGGCTTACAATGCATTCAAGATACCACTCTCATGTCATGTCGAGATGAATGGATTTTTTCTCTTTTTGGATCAGTGGTTATAGCACTTCGTCCGCAGACTCCTCTTGTAAATGTGAAAATACTTTTGAACTTGTTCGTGGTCCTTCTACTCAAAGGAAATATGCTAGCAGCTCAAGCCTTGGCATCCATGGTTAACAAGTGGCCTGCAGATGTTAACAAGTCAGAAATATCTTATTCTTTGGATCAAGCAATTGAGGAGATTCTGAAGAGTTGTCTATGGACTTCAGAAAGCAGTAGCAATTTTATAGATAGAGATAGTTGTTTTCATAAAAATGTTGTCCTTGGACTGGCATGGATTGGAAAAGGTTTGCTTATGAGGGGACATGAGAAACTAAAGGAAATAGCAATGCTTCTTTTGAAATGTCTAGTTGCTGGTAAATATGTGGATATCACACCTTTTCAACAGCATGAGAATGGTAAGGATGCTGGGCAGGATGCAAGTTCCCCTTTGGCGACATTTGCAGCGGATGCATTCCATGTATTTCTAAGTGATTCAGAAGATTGTCTGAATAAGAAGTTCCATGCCACGATAAGGCCACTTTATAAGCAACGTTTCTTCTCAAGCATGTTGCCAATCCTGCTCTCTTCAATCAAAGAATCCGATCCCTCGAGTAAAAAGTATCCTCTTCTCATCTAGTGTCTCTTTTGTTGTTTATGCTGATTTTTTTTCAAGTCATTTTAATGCATACAATAGTTTTCTGAGTTTTTTAGTAATTAATTATGTAGGTTGATCCTATTCTTCATTTTATGAAATATGTATTTCCCTGCTTCGGATGTTGTCTTCTAAGTGGCCATATGTAATACCTACTTGCTTGGTTTTACTTTTTGTTTGCTTTATGAATGTAGGCATGACAGTGGTAATTGCCACTTTAAGTAGTGGCTTACTCACAAAGAATGCAGTTCTTAATGTTAATGTTGTGTATGAAACACATCTTCATGAATTGATATCTTAAGAATGTTAGCATACTTAGTGAAACAGGAAGGCTTTTGTCTTAAATGCTCTTATCTCTCTAGTGAGTATTTGCACATGCATATTATGTTGTGAATTTATGCTTTTTTTTTGTATATGATTATATTGTTGTGATTAGTTTTAATTTCAAATTTACTTTCACGAGATTTCAGAGTGGTATTATATCGAGCTTTTGGACATGTTATTTCTGACACTCCACTGGCTGCTGTGGTTGGTGAAGCCAAGAAGGTTGGTATTGGAAATCTCAGAATTCATAATGAACTTATTGAAGGGAAATGATCAAGTATATGAATTTAGTGAGTTCATGCAGTTAATTAAGTTGAAGATGCCTATTTTGTGCAGATTGTGCCCACACTAGCTGATGCGTTGGCTATGTTGAGTTTGGATATTCTGAATAAAGATCTGATATACAGTCTGCTGCTAGTTGTCTCGGGGATACTGATGGATAATAACGGTGTGCTCATTTTTCACATGCTTATTAAAGATAGGCTTTTTTAATAAAATAATGGTTTCAAATACATGTTCTCGATATCCCATTACTAAAATAATAGGATATTGTTGGCCCAAGGACTAGATTGGTACCCGATGGCATTTATTTATTTTTGTGACACCATGTGGCACAGGTTGGTATACCGCCAGGTATACCGTAGTGGTCCAATTAGTCAGTGACACTGGTCTTGCATCAGTATTTAAAACTTTGACCAGTTTCATCATGCATCTTAAGTCTGAGGGGATGGTTCTTTTGTGTGTACCTTCTACTGTAATTACTGCTTCTGATCTTGCCTTTTACTTTTTTTTTTGTGAAACCATAGTTATTTTTTTCAATTTACATTTAGAAACTTGTAATTTTGCTATAGTTTTTAAGCTTTCTTTCCGCCCTAATATGATGATGTAAATAAAATATATTGCGTACTAGGATGGACGGACCTTAATTTGTGAAGATACAGTTCTAGTTTTTTGGAGTTCTCATAGTCATGCTGTTTGAGCAAACTTCTGTGCATGTGCTGATTACCTTTACAATTATATTATGTTTTTGCTGTATTTAAAGACCTTCTGGCTAAGAAAGTTGGTTTTTAAGAACTATAAAATATTTCTGGTTGTGTATCCATAAGAGAATATTAGAGTACATAAAACACAGCCACACCAGTTGCACTGTGCAAACATTAAATTTTAATTTAGATAATTTTTTTATTCATTGACAATACCCCAAAATCATTATGCTTCTTGTGATTACATGACTTCTGACTTGTTCATGATCTGTGGCCAAAGTTTTAAATTAGTATAGTAATTTATTGCTTGAGCAGTGTTAAAAGCCTCCTGCATCCACAAAGAATTCTCACGTTTGCAAGCAATTTACTACTGCCTTGAATAGTGCTCAAACTTCCACTATCCACCCCTTTCCCCTAAATCTTATTAGTTAACTTAGTACTTAATTTATTATATTTGACATATATTCACCAACTTATTTTGGGTATTTGGAAGAGAATTTGGTACTTTTGGTTTGCAATAGATGATGATCTTCACCTAGACTTTCTGAATTGAAGTTATTACAACGAGATTTGTCACTTTGATTCTCTAGTTGTTCAGAAACTGAATTTGCATGTTCTTGCAGGTAAAGCAATTGTCCTCGAGAATGTTCACACCATCATTAGCCTCCTTATCAAACTGATTTCCTACCCTCATTTGATGGTAAGATCTAATCTGTGATGATTTACATTAGTGTTCTTTGTGAACTTTGATGCCAAAGCAAAACTTTGGCATCCATTGCAAATGAAGTTATCATTGTTCTGCAGTTGCTTCACTATTCATTTTGTCATGGTCTGATTTGATAGGCTCATAGTTAAATAACTTTAACTCGGATAGGAATGGACTTTAATCACATGCTCGAAACATCCAAGGTAGGTTAATATTTAGCCCATCTAGTCTCATAACGTGGTACAACTCTTCATAGCTTCCCATATTACTGGGGAATCATACTTGGCCTTGGCATCCTCGTCAAAGTCTGAAACTGCATGAATAGAGTAACTCCATGTCTGCAGTCTAATTGTTGTGTTTCAGTACTTCTTGATAGATCTACTAGCATGATAACTCTTTTAAATGACCCTAAGCCAAAATGCATAAGCCCCAATTACCAGTAGGTCCATCTGGTTTAATATCCCAATCTAATTCAAAACCACGAAAAATGACCATCGAAGCTATTTAGTCACCAGGACAAAGACATCGATTAAATAGTCTTTGTTGATCAGAAAACACATGATAAGATTTTCTAGACATCTATTGTTGTGTTAGAATAGAATGCATTATTATATTAGGCATATTGACATGACAAAGGACATGTATATAGCATACTTAATGTAATTGTTACCTGTAGTAGCGAAAGGACATGTATATATCATCACTTTTTTTGTAAGCAGGCCTACTCACTGTATCCTCATGGGCAAATTGTATGGTCACATTTAAAATTACATGCTTATGTTTTGGTTACCTCATAGGATCACTTGTGCAAAAAAAAGAAAAGAAAATGAAATTATGGGCCTTTTGATGTAGTCAGTTGCTGATGAAGCAAAATCTGTCAGGCATATCTAGTTCTTTCTGCATTAAACAGGTTTTATTGGAAAATTTCCTAATGCCAATGCTTCAGATGAATTTCATGCAATGTCTGTGTATCAGATTGTTCGTGAAACAGCAATTCAGTGCCTAGTAGCCATTTCAGCTCTTCCTTATGCAAGAATTTATCCATATCGACCACAGGTTGGTTAAATTGATGCCTTCTTTTTCTTCTTTGGAGGATGTTGTTAAACTGATGCAACACATTGCTGATCTCCTGTTAGGTTCTTCGAGCTGTTTCAACTGCTCTGGATGATCGAAAAAGAGTTGTTCGTCAGGAGGCTGTCAGATGCCGTCAAGCATGGTGATTCATAAGTTTATCATGATCATCCACTTGTGCTAGTTGGCTTGCAATTTGACCATCTTTTCACTGAATGCAGGGCATCAATTGCATGAAGAAGTTTTCGGTTTTGATGCAATGGATGCAGGGCATCAATTGTACTAGTTTTTTTTTTTTTGCAACTTAAATAATATTCATGACAGGAAATTTGAAGGTAGACTGGATTGTTGGACAGGGATATTTAACCAGTGATGTGCAAGTACGACAAGATGTGATCTTCCTAGCTGGTTACTTTTCTCACAAGGCACTATGGCCGGTCAATGCTGAGGAGGATACAAGAACTTAATAAAAATGCACGAGCGTTGTTGTCAACATTGCTGCCTCTCTTAACACACTATTTCAAGTCCGGAAGGGAGGGGCGGATCATGATTGATTGTTGAGGTGGACGTCAATTGATTAATCGTGTAAATAATTTGCTATTATCTAAGTTTTGAGTAAAATTACGTTGTACCGTCGTAATGTATGGCGTGCGGTTTAAAATTTTATGAAAAGCTATTTGCCAAGCTATTAGAAGTATTTACCCATAAAGGTAATATGAGATTAAAAAATAAACCGCTAGGATAACGTAACTCTATATTGTAAAGTACTAATAGTTAACAATAAAATTGAAAGTCTCAATTATTTAAAAATAACTATATAGATCTTTTATCATTATTTTTATCATTCTATAAAAATTTTAATGTTACTATCGAATGACAACCCAACTGAAACCAATTAAGATTCATGTTTATAACTCTATATCAGTGAATTATTTTTCATTTGAGCTTGCACGACAGTGTTATATATTTCCAGTTATATTTTCCAAAAATATCTTTTCAGGTTGGTTAAAACAAATGCAAAATAAGAGTCGGGAAAAGGCCTTTTCCCGACTCTTATTATGTGAAAAAAAAAAGAGTATGGAACACAAATAAATAAAGAAGATACTGCTGGGCAATGCCATAAATGTTGTTCTTTGTTAAAAACCAAAAAGGAACCTTTAATAGTTACCAGAATCTGCAAATATCGTACCTGAAGAGACAACAATTACCAGAACCAAAACATGCTATCAAAGTCCTGGTGAGGCAAAACCGAAGTTAATTGTTCATAAATCATTTTCATGCAAAAGAGAACCTTTAATAGTTTTAAGATAGCATGGTATCTTAGTCATACAAGGACAACCATATCAAATAAAGATTGTTATACCAAACAGAGATACAAAGAAGAGTTCCCAAATAATCATGCAATGATATCCAAATGTAGCCTGAACTGGATGCAGATGGAGGGTACTTACATGGTTTTGGTAAATGGCTCCTATTTTTTTATTTGTAAAACGGTGGATAGCTCATCTTTTGTTCGAGTGTTGACTCTATTTCTCAAGACTATCCTAGTCGAATTAGGAATGAAGAGAACACAGCACTATGCTTTTCAGGCAGATTTTTGTCCATAATAAAAGGATCCTAAAGAGTAACTAAAACAGCTACAATGAATTAAGTTTATCTGGTGTCCCAAGGGTCATAATATGAATTTAGTATAGGCTAGACAAGTTACTTTACTATTAGGGTTCATATCTTGAGAGTTCTAGTGAAAACTTTGGTAGGAGTGAAGAATGATCAATGCAATCTGGGGAACGTTCAGGACTTCTCAATCTTAATGAGAATCAGGAAAACAATGGCTCAAAGCTATAAAATTTCCATTATATTTCCGTTAACACATACTAACATCTACTGTGACCTTGCTAACTAAACATGTCCAACTAGAATCAATATTTCCTCACAAAAGCACTAGATTTATCTCCTCACAATGTTTGCAGAAAAGCAATGGACAGGGAAGAATTTTAACAACCAGATTCACAATAATAGACAAAACTGTATCCTTATAATAAAAAGTCTAAATGCAATTTAATGAAGCATACTCCAGTAATATAATAACCAAAATTTCAACGAAAAGGAAACTAATATAACCCCGGTGGGGTGCTGAGATTGATTGCAAGATCAAGTTCTTGCCAGTGGCTGGCTCATATAGTTGCCAATTGGGTGAAGATCGAACCAAAATTATCTTTAGAAGCATGGATAACCAAATATGTCCCTACTGCAGTAAATAGATAAAGAAACGGAAGAATGAACAAAGTTGGAAATGGCAAAAGATGAAACCCTCACAAAGATGGCACGATTCAAACTGAACTAGGAAGTTAGAATGTTCGGAGGGAAACTTTAATGGAACCTCTCGGGCTATATGCAGTCGGCTTGCTTGATTAGACAAGAAAAAGCACTTTCTTGACCGAGTTCGGGTCTCTTCCATTCAGTGCCAAACCCTAAGAATCACATGGAATGCCTACAATAGTCTACATGGTTATATGTGTTCTGCTTGATTGATAAGAAAAGAGATGGTTCTTTCTTGAACCTAGTTTGAATCTTTTTCCACAAATACGGATCAAAATGACCGAAACGGCATCTGGACACTCAATGCAACGCAATCAAATTGCAAGAACCCGAAGACCATCAGAAAGAAACAATTAGGCACAACAAGAACGAAGTGATTAGAACCAATTACTTCATGGGGCCGGGAGGTCTCGGTCACGGGCACGGAAGCGGTGCAGTTGCATTTGAAAACGGTATCCGCCAAGAAGGGGAAATGAGACGGGACGACTCATCTACTTCTCAGATCGCAACCATTTACGCCGTCTTTGAGTCATCAAGAAGTCAAGTTTACCGAGCTAGTAGATGAAAACCCAGGAAAGCAAGGGATAACCAAGTAGAAGAGTAGAAGCGATGGAAACCCAGGAAAGCGAGGGATAACCAAGTAGAAGCGCTGGAAAACAATGAAAGCGAGAGAGAAAGACATGGATAACCAAGTAGAAGCGATGGAAACCCAGGAAAGCGAGAGAGAAAGACATGGATAACCAAGTAGGAGCGATGGCGAGGCACCGACATCGTCGATGCGGAGAGGCGCGGGAAGCAGGGAAGCGAGAGAGAGGTGCGCGATCTAATCTTTCCCTAATTTCCATCAGCTTCTTGATCGCCTCTGCCTTTCCTTCTTCCATGGATAACTAACCCATCGAGAGATCGAGATCTTCAAGTTTCAGACGGTCGAAGTGGACGGGGCCTCTTGGAAAACCCGTTATATAGTATATATCGGAAATTTGCCGAAACATTATAACACGTTATAAATGATAGAACGCACCGCCATGTCGTTTCATCACAACCATTGATCCATTATGTATATTTTTGCCGATGCAATTTACCAGAAAAATCCGCTGATTTCTGAAATGACAAAGACGCCCTTCATTTTTTTCAATCAGCCCTCTTTTGTGTAATGTTACGCATTTTAACTTTCTTATTGAGCCATAAAATAAATAAAAAACAGGAAAGAAAGAATGTGAAAAATCGATTACAGTGTAACTTTAGATAGAAACAGAACAATGCAATTTTAGACTCTGAAGACATTTAATAACTCAACAAGACAAAAAACAAATCAAACAATTCTTAAGAAAGCTATTGAGACGGATCAAAACAGATATGTCAGTTGCCCTCTGAAAACAGACAATATATCCTATATTATACACGATTACCTGAGAATAAAAGGAACTTGAAAAAACAGACAAAAATATATAAAAAATAATAATCATTAGAAAATGACAAGAGAAGTAAAGCACAATAACCATGTCATCACCTGTCATTTATGCAACTAAGATTATCATGCTCACTAGCCCAATAGATAATAATAAAGAAGGTTGTAGACATCAATGTGTTGAACAAATAGAGAATAAATTGTAGCAGTTTAAATAGATGCTCCTGATTATAGATGATACAGTTAATTAGACAAAATGGAGGAACAATGCCATCAGTTAAGTGCAAAATTACATCTGATAGACATTTTAACTCCCCTGAAAATTACCTACAGGTAGCCGTTTATTGACTGTACAAACCTAACGCTAACTACATCAAATCAGCTCTGATTGCAACAGATCATGCAAGGCATCAAAGGACTTGGCTTCTATACTGCACCACATGTTAGATGTGGCCAATATTAAGATGACAATCTTGAATGAAGCTCGCACCTTAAATTCTCTAGCCTAAACACATTAGAAGAAGCCTTCTGCATCTTCAACATCTTCCTAGCCTTTAAGAAACAGCATGACGTAATGTTTACTCGAGCCAATTACGCCTCTGTCCAACCCAAAATAGAAAGTGGAACATCATGAAACTGTGCGGCCATAACAGACAGAGGCTATGTAAAGATTTTTTGCCCATTTCTCCTGCAACAAATTTAATGTCAACAACTAAACCAATGAGCATAAATTTTATAATCATAAAACAAAATTCACAGAATATGTAAGAAGATATCAACACCTTCACATGTTGACTAGGAAAAGCAGATGTTCTAAGTGTCTCTTGTGTCTCATCTGCAGGCTTTCTTCTGGGTACACTAAGAACAAGGGCAGCTTGGTCCAATGTTGCAGCAGTAGCAGTTATGCGAAAACCGCCATCCCACCTTCGATGAATGCCTTCACTAGGGTACAAAAAGTCAAGTTCGACAACCTGTATTTGGAACATTACACATTCAACACATTACTCAATCCACATCAGCTGGGGTATATACACAACTAAAATACTCGAGCCATTCATGCACTATGCCACCCCTAGTGCCAGTATGCCTTAAAAGAAAAGCAAAAAAGAATAAAAGGTGACCTGATCCAAGAAGCCAGCATTTCGGGACATGACAACTCCCCATCTACTTCCAGCAGTTGCCATTGTGGTGACATAGAAACCTTCACGCCATTTTTTGTTTATCCACTTGAAAGGAAATGACTCGCTAACTTTATAAGACTGTTGTACATACTGTGTGCCTGAAATAGGATCCAAAATGAATTTAACTACAAACTCATACAAAACCCTGAAAATAAAACTAGCTCATAATACAGCAACATTTACCTTTAGACATTACGACTAAAGAGCTACCACTGTTTGTCCCTGCTAATGCAGTAATATAATAGTTCTTATCCCACTGTTCCATTATCCATTCCTAGTAAGAATCAAATAAAAATCATTTGCATTATCTTTTAACTGTCAACATCGACATGTGCCATCAAGCAATTTAGTAAGTGAAAGAGTTGTTACTAAATGGTACTCACTTTGTGAAGAAAATTTGGAGACATTTCATAAACTTGAGAAGTGAAACCAGTGCCTGCGTCCATGATAATTGCCCAAAGATTTGAACAAGATGCAACACAACTAATGAATAAACTATCTTCATTCCCTTTCTCAATATGCTGTGCAAGCCTTACATCGGCAACATTGTAATGGTACCTGAAATTTAAAAAGGAAATAAATCATTCATTTGTACCATATTCTAATCATGATAAATAATCACACAGAAAAGCACCTTTGTTTCATAGGTCTCCGAGCGTTATAGACGCTGATCCACTGTGTTGCAGGCATTCCCATTCTGATCTTCTTCTTTGGTTGTTCATCACCCTCTTCTTCCATCATCAGACGACCTCTCTTTTGACCTACCTGGTATATAAGCTACAGGGTGTGCAACTTACGTTTAGGTCTTACATAGAATCTTTTAGTTTAAAGAAGGCAAAAGGAGACTAGCAGTACCTTTTGAGCTCCATCAGTGTTAATGGGTCTGATATCTGGATTAGGTCCTACTATGTCGTCAAAAAGGGAAATGCATTTTGCGTAGTCAGGTTTTTCATCAAACTTCAAGTTGACCACATACTCAACAAACTGTTTGAATGGCTGGGGAGAGAAGCAACACAGAGTCTCTGGAGATGTAGCCATCTTCTTCTTGCACACAAGGAAGCCCTTGTTCTCTCCCTATATGGGTAAGGATAAAATTCATGGGATTAGCAAATGCAACAAATACAGATTGAAAGTTTTAAGTAGTGATCGGACTGGTTGGTTGGTATTAAACAGACCAACCAAGAATGGTATCGGAACATTGATATGATTATTTTATTTCTGCTTTCTATTATTTTGTTTAGTATATCGGACAATACAGGGCCATGTACCACCTAAGATATCGATACTTTACCACTTAGATAATCTATCAAAACAAAGGGGCTATGACAGTCTTAAATAGTTACCTGGTATCCTTGCCAAGGTAGACGACCTCGGAGAAGAAAGATTAATGTATATGCCAGGGATTCTAAATCATCTCTCCTGCTTGCTGTCCTTCCTAGGTGAGCATGAGCACTGGCATAGCGAACTGTTCCTCTGCAAGATGCAATTTGCGATACAGAGTCTTAGGAGATCAGATTAAACCAAAACAAATAGCTAATTTCATTTTCTTAAAATTTGATAGGCAAACCAAATGTAGCGATCTGCAAGGCTGTTCATAAACAAACCTGAAAACGTCTGGCCTCTGATCATATTCCACATGCAGCCCTGTCGCACTATCCTTCCACTTGGTGGCTGTCAGTTAAGAGTTTAAGAAAACAATTTTCAACGACAGCCCTTAGAGGTATTCTTTATCAAGAATGATATCTAAACACAATATACTGCCAAATGCCAATTCCATGCCATTCAATTACCTAAACCAAGATCAACAAGAAACAGTTTCTTCTCCTCAAGAGTCCCAGGTGGCCCAAGTAAGAAATTCTCAGGCTTTACATCCCCATGTACGTATCTGTTATAACAAGCATGATTTAAAATACATTAATATAGTTATCGAAGCAAATGCACAATGTCAATATATTAACAATTATACAATCAATTAAGGACATGAACAACATTAAATAATTTGACATGGGAAGATCAGCTAATTGCATAAGATTTTGATAATCATGCTGCAATTTGGAATAAAGATCTACCCTTTAGAATGCATCTTCTCCAGTATAGAAATTGCTTCAGTGCCAATACATGCAACCATTTCAACTGACATTCTGCACAAAGAAAAAAGTTACAACAGCCAAAGTAATCTGAAAGAAATTATCATAATAATAATCAATATTTGATTCAACACTTACGAATGTGAATTGCTATTCCATACATCCCATAGACTAGGTCCCAGCATATCCATAACCTGAACAAAGTTTCATAATATAGTTATCTTAACACCCCAGATGACACTACTATTTTAGATATTTTCAAAAATGAAATACCATGATATAATAATCCCCTTGGCGACCCTTATAGTGAACTCGTGGTACCCCATGAATACCACCAAGTGTGCTACAAATGAAGACAAGGTTGATCAGACACTCAAGACATGGTACAAACTTAGCTCAACAAAAGACAAACAGAACTTACTTGTACACTTGCCATTCATAAGGGGGCCCATAGTTGCAGCCTTTACTGCTCCTATGCTCAAATTTTAATGCTACCTGACATACAAGATATGGTACAATTTTTTAATATTCAACCTTAACTTTTTACCAAACTGGGAAATATGCAGTTACCACACCTCTACAGCACCAGAACCAGTAATTCTATCATTTGCATTAGTAGCTGAAACACGGCGACCTACATAAACTTGCCCAAATCCTCCTTTCCCTAGTTTTCTTTCAATTTTGTATACTGGTGAACTGCCAACCTGGACCTGTTGCAGTCAAATACAATAAACTGTGTTAAAGACAAACTGTTGCACAAATGAAGTGAATGAGAAAGAACCTTTTATCACACTGAAAAATCCTTACATCTGGAAATATTTAATTTAATATGAAATATAATATGCTGGAAATGGTGCAGTATGAAACACTACGTTTTTAAATAAAGAAGAATATAAATATAAGTAGAACTAAAATGCATCATGCTAGACACCCAACTCAGCATGTTTCAGAAGATGAGGTTCTCAAGATTTATCATGTCCCAGGAACAGATTTCAAAATTAATAATAAGAGTATAAGCTAGTCTAAAGAATGAAACTAGATATTTTAGCTATTTTAGTCCCAACATATTACCAGAAATTTATCTCAAATATGAAGTTTCTTGCTAGAATAACTACTGACTATAACATATACATTATACACCAAGCTGTAAAATAAATTTTGACATCATAAAAGTGACTAACTTCATGCCTTTGATTGTCAAAGGTTGTACATAATCTAAAATCTGATTAGGTATCTAACAATTGTCATTGAAACATCTGAACTCAAACCTTAAGTAAATGACTCAGCAGCATCAAAAGTTGGAACTTGGAACACAGTAATTCGGGCAAATTGTCAAAGTTGATAACATATCTAACTAGTGTACACATTGGGTAGATGTTCAACATGGGTATGCATTAGATACATCACTTACATGACAATCATGAGTTAAACAGAACAGGAGGAAAGAGAAGGTGACATGAAATGACTCCAAGTAGCAGCACTCCCTGCCACCATCCATTATCAACCCCTGGAGTCAGAGAATGGGTGGAGGAGAAAGAGAGGGAAACACGTGCAGCATGCATGAGCCATTGCAGAAACATTAATTGACACCACAAGTTTGAGGAATGGAAGAAGAATAAAGACAGAAGGATAAATGTGCAACATGTTTGCCAGGATTAAAAATTAATGAGGATGCTCCTGGACAGAACTACTAACAAAAAAACCTCAAAATCCCATATTAGCAATTTGACCCAATATAGATCCTCTCCAACTCTCATATCTTACCAAACCACTATTTTTCTATTTTTTACTTTTTTATAGCAAACCACTGTTACTTATCTGTATAATCTAACTAATTTAAAAATTAATAGTAACAAAAAAAAACAATAAAATACGTAAAGTTTATTGCTTCAGGATAACATTGTCACATATATATGTTTTGCATCCCCATATTGTCCTACTTTCACAAGATTTGTAACAATGGCATGTTTGTCCCATGGACTTCATGGTCAGCAAGAATGACAGAGTTAATAATCTAAACTTAGAGAGCCCAAATTTCAGAATATATGCACCATATTTTGCAGGTTTCAAGCATCAATATTTACTCAAACAATACTAGATTCAAATTTTTGCCTTTGGTGCTATGTTTACAGCTTGTCTAAGTAATTAAGGCTCATAAAGCATTATGGACATCACATATTATTTATAGTTCTATATTTATAATTTCCTTCAGGATAAACCTTAGTAAATGGATTGCTTAGAGATGGTAAAAGTTTACACATCAGAACTTCAGTTTGCTTTTCTATCTGATGCCTACTAATTTTTCCTTCACTTCCTGTTTTGTTTCTTCTCTGATTGAAAGCAGTCATATTTTGACCTAATATCAGTCGATTCTATCATGCTGGAAGATCTTCATTTTCATTGACGACATCAAGTATTTGAGAGGCCGCACACACAAAAGGCACCATCTGATGCCAAACGAACCATATTTATAGAGATAAAGTAAGCACATGAAAACATACACAGTAACACCAACGGATCTTTAATTTGAGATATCCAAGAAACTTGTTTGTTTGATTGAAAAGAAGACCAACTGAAGTCACCATCACAAAAGTCAATTTAACATTGTTTCACTTATGAAAAGAAGTACAAGGTACACATAGAACCCAAATGAATTGCATCCGTCTTAAAAAGTCAATTGAATTAGAGAGCGAAAGATGGTGTAACAAAACAATCCGAACAGAGGAAAACGGCTAGCCCCTTTTTCCCAGTAAAATGAGTAAACAACTGTAGAAAATGCAAAAAGTATAGATAGCTCGAACCTTTACCGGAAGGGGAGCGGCGCTCCCCTCGTCCTCGCCACGGGGGAGAAGTTTTTCGGCGCTCCTCGCCCCACTATCATATTCATCCATCCGTCTCTCGCCGATCCCTTCAAGATTCACCTCCCCGACAACCCCCCCGACCTCGCCGCCACCCTCCGCAAGCCTGATCTCCTCCTGCGGCTCGGCAGACCTCGCCACTGGCAGGTTCTCATCCACCGGCTGCTGGTTCCTCGCCGCCCGCCGCCTCCTCTCATTCGGTCGCTCAGCCTGGACTGCTGGGGTCGCCTGCGCCCGGCCCCTGCGCACTCTGCTACGGAGCTCAGGCATCCTTCATCTGCCCAGCCCCATGCCTCAAAAGCCACGTGATCGCTACGACGTTTCGAAAACCTACCGGGCAGATTCGACACCGGGAGGCCTCGAAATTACGATCAGGATGACGCTAATCGATCGCCGCAATCAATTTGAATCAAATATTGGAGACAATAGACGGGGATTGTTTCATCACTGAGAGATTTTTGACTTAGGGTTTCGATGAGGAGAGAGGGTTTGATGGAGAGCTTTCGGAAGCCTTGAGTTGAGATATTGGACAGAGAGAGAGAGAGAGAGAGAGAGGAAGAGGAGAGAGACGACGACAAAGGGATGCGGACGAAATTAAGAAACGTTGTGCGGGGTGCGATTGGAAATGTACAAAAATACGCGTAGCGTATGGTTCAGCGGTACCGAAGTTGGAGATTGGGAATAGTTTGGGCTGGGGAGCAACAGGGTTCACTGGGGTCCATTGGGGTACACGAACCTGCTATTTATAGATGAAGACTGGTGGGTGATAGTTTGCAATCAAGGAAATATTCTTTATGTAATGCGATGAATATCTTCGGTTGCGATGACTCCTGATGTGGCATTGGCCTAACAGTTTTTGTTGTTTCTTGGCACTTTAATATTAACATGTCTTAAGTTTGAAAACAACGATTTTGTTCTTCTCATTTTTAGAATATTTTTTTATCCTAAGAAATACATTGCATATAAAAAGGAAGCTTGGGATATGTCGACTATTTTGGGATATTTTTTTGTTTTCGATATATGCATAGCATTTAAGAAGATGCTTTAGGCGATATCAATCATTTATTTTTTTTTATTTTGGATGAATAAGTTATCTTACGAGATGTATGATAGGTAAGAAAAATATATTAAATATATTGAGTACTTTCGTTATTTCTTTTTTATCTTAGATATGTAAAAAAAGAATGTTGTTCGATATCTTGATAGTAAAGAATACGAAGGAAGTTTGTGATTGTCTTTCTCATTATAAATATCGAGAAGGAAGCTTTTAATTATTTTTTTGTTATAAATGATAAGAAAAAAACTTATTTTTTAGATCATAAATGATAAAATAAAGTTTCCTCTTATCCTTCGTTGATGGGCGTCACATGGCGATGATGTGTCGAATGATTAATCAATAACATATCCCCTATCATTTATAGAGGGGCTCGAAATGTGATGTTTAGTTCATCCAACACGTAAGCGTTAGGGATTTTTTTTTTCTTGTAGGTTGGGTCTTCCCGATATATGTGCCTTGCCATGGCAAATTTCTCATTATGCAAGTCGGATTTTTCTAACTTGTGTGCCTCAGACACATTTTATCTTATGCCTCCGTTGTTATGAATTTATCTTTATGTAGGTCGGGTTTTCCCAACTTACGCGCTTCGGGTACATTTTATTTTGTGCCTTCGTCGTGGCAAATTTCTCTTTATGCGAGTTGGGTTTTCTCGACTCATATGTCTTAAGCATACTTTATCTTGTGTCTCTGTTGTGATAAATTTTATTTTATACAAGTTGGGTTTTTTCGACTCGTGTCTCAAGCATATTTTATCTTGTGTCTCTATCGTGATAGATATTTCTTTACGCAGGTCAAGTTTTCTCGATTCACATGTCTCAATCACATTTTATCTTATACTTCTACCATGGCATATTTCTCTTTACACGTGTTGAGTTTTCCTAACTCGTGTGCTTCGAGCATATTTTATTTTGTGCCTCTGCCATAGCGAATTTCTCTTTATGCGGGTCGAGTTTTCCGAACTTATGTGTCTTAGGCACATTTTTATCTTGTGTCTTTATCGTGACAGATTTATGTAATTTTCAAGTCCTTCATCTGGTGCATTTTAAATCCTTTGTACAATATATTTTGAATCCTTTATCTAGCACTTTTTGAATCTTTTATCCGATGCTTTTTGAATCCTTAATGTCGAAGTGCCTTGAAGAGACACTTGTCTCAATCATGAGAGGAGAGAGATCAGCTTCCTCCCTATGAATCTCTCTTCACCTTATGGGTGAGGTTCATTCTTCCATTTGAGTCTCCAGAGCCTCCTTAAAAATTTTCTCTGCTTCGTTTTGGTTCCCTATAGGGTAAGTTGGTTCTGGAGTCTCTTATAGTATCGATGTTAATTCAGAAATAGATCAGTCTTCTACTATTTTGCTCCTATGTCTCCCTCGATTCGGATGTCTTTTCTTTCATGTACAAGTTATTCTCAATCTATTAGCTACGAAATGGTCAAGATCCATGCTTTATCTTTGGGCAGTCCAGGGTAAGAGGAAATCCTGACCTCTCTTTCATTGAGGGAGGTAGTTCCCATAAACCCAAAAGTTCTTCGAGACTTAGAGTTAATGAAAACCTAGCATGACTGTAATTTAGTGGTGAGTGCATCACTTCTGGATTACGAGTTAAGTGTTTCATCTCGATCAAGTTCGACTTACAAGTGCCTTGACCTAATCAATATCTATTCAATTATGCGTTGGGGTCTCTTTGCTTGTCTTGTGATGCCCTTGAGGTAGGATTTCATCTTTTTTTTCTATCTAGTGATAGTGTCTTGCCTATAATGGTAGAAGATGTCACTTCTCAAATGACGTCCAACTCGTGGTGCTACCTAAAATTGTTCATCGAGAAATATTGGCGTGCTGACATTACTCCAACCCTTAAACTTTTTTACGATTTGTTTGTTATTATGTAATGGCAAAAGTGGCTACTATTTGACTAATGGCTCAATAAGCCTCAGGTGCTAGTGTTGGTTGAGTTGCTGATTACGATTGAGGTGGTGGCATCACTTGTTGGGTTAGTTGAGACAAGAGCAAAGCAATAGCTTACATTATACCCATTAACATTTGCACCTATTCGAAGAGGTTTAGGACTGCTTCAATGGGGATGAGCAGGTGACTCGAGGTCGCCCTCGAGTCATTGAGTGGATGCTAGTATCGCATCAATATTTATACCGAGATGGATGCATCCACGTGTGAAAAGGGTGGCTATGCCCCTCGAGTGACAGTACTATAAGTTGGGGCAATGCCTTTTCACTTGAGCGTTCATCAAGAGGGTTGGTAATCAGACTCTTCTATGACATCGAACCCTCCTTTTAGGGTTAAATTGTGCCCTTCTTCACGTGGGTTGGGAAAATCCAACCTGCGTGAAAAAAAATCTACCATACGAAAGCACAAGATTCAATGTACGTCAGGAAGACCCAATTTGCAAGAAATCGACTAATCATTCGATACATCGTTTGCTAGTCATATGTGCCCTGCAAGTCAATCACGTAAGTGATAGCACGTGTGACTTGACACGTAGTTTTTATTATTATTATTATTTGATATTTTATCATTTTATATTGCATGTTGCTTGAATATATTGTGATGTCCATGGATCTGTGCAATGGGAATCGGTTCGTGATGAGATCACGATAATGAGACCGATTCGCCTTGAAACTCAAATCCTAAATAATCCCAATCATAGGTTACTCGAGAGGGACATCGAGATAACCGAATAGATTGGTGTGTTGTATACCCGTCCATATGATGGATGCAACTGGTCTCATAAATGCTCGTGTGGAGACACTAGGGATACATTACAGGTGCTCATTGGAGAATGAGTTCACTAATTGATCCGCTTACGGAATACTGGATGGTTGATGATGCCTTATTGTCAGACAATAATTTCATAATCCCAGTAATGTATCTGGTCCTTAGACTTAAGATATCAAGGATGTCCTGAATGAATACTCCACTTTTTGATACTAGACTTATAGGTCTAGAGGTTCTAAATCTAGCACAACCGGTCATCGGGAGTGGTAGCCAACCTTACGAGAACTATTGAGTTTCGATAGAAGATCATTCACTCTCGTTGTCTTGAGAGGAATATCCCATGCATTCTTGTTTAGACAAATCTCTAGCTAGGGCCATTCGGATTAAGAGAGAAAGAGTTCTCCAGGAGAATCCGATTAGAGCGAGACTCAAGCAGAAACCGTATGGGTCTGACACCACCATGCCTGATATACGGTCTTTGGAATATTATATGGATGAGGGGCTATAGGTACATGGTAACTGAGGACAGACATATCCAATGGATTAGATTTCCCTGTAACGTCTGGGGACTACGACACAGTAGCTTATTACGTCCATAATCGATGAATCGAGTGAATTATTATGAAGATAATAATTTATTGAGTCAAAAGGAGTTCTGACAGGTATGACTCACGGCCAGCTCGATATTGGGCCTAGAGGGTCACACGCATATGGTAGGCGTTGCGATGAATAACAGTTCGAATATGAGATATCCGCTAGAGCCCATATTTTATTGGATATCCAATAAGCCCCTGAATTATTGAATCATATGGATGATATCTAATAAGAGCCAATGAGAGATTATTAGATAGAGATCCACTAATCTAAAAGGCTTAGGTAGTTGGATAAAGATCCAATACTCAATAGGGCTGGATCCATTAGGGTTATGTTGACAGTGGGCCTTTATAAATGGAGGGAACCAATGGTTCATAGGCTAAAGCCTTTTTGTCCTCCATCATCTCTTAGATATATGTAAGGATTCAGGGATATACGATCTCCCTAGGTAACACAAACTTTCATATACGCGGTTTTAAGTTTCATAGGTTTTACGCACCAATCTTTGCACGACGACGAACATATCTTTGGGAAATTGAGGATTTTGTTTTTAATGTTCTTCGGCTGCGCATGTGATGTCGCCCCTAGATTTTTCAACATCATTATCATGTAGTGTCTAATAAGGAAGGATAAGATGAAACTTCCTTCTTATCATTTATGAGTGGAAAGACAATTATAAGCTTTATTCTCCCATTTATGATAAGAAAAATAATTACAAGCTATCTACTCATCATTCATAACGAGAAAATAATCATAAGCTTTCTTCGTGCTCCTTACGACTAAGTATAAAAGTTTACCTTTAACATAGAAAAAAAAAAGACTTCTCTTGACTATTTACGTTCATACTTATACCCCGATTTTCATGCTGATGGTACCGATGCTTCCATCTCAAAGATATTTCAAGTGACCCTATGTATACGAGTCATATATACGAGTTAGACCATATAGAACTGTGATATTCTTTCTTATCATTTTTGTAATTTTGTAATTGTTCCTTCATCAAATGCAACAAAAGAAAGAGAATTGTCTCCGCTTCCAACTTTTGCTTACAAAATGCTCGGTCATGAAATCAAGGCTTAGAGTTGGAAGATCACATTACAAAAATAGAGGCAAAGCAGAATCATATATCTAATTCGAAACCGTAAACTAATAATCTCTAACCTTATTTGTGACAACTTTTAAGAACTAATCCAACGACAAATTAAACCCCAGTTTCTTGCACCCAAAATTATAAGAAATAGGCGAGAAATCCATCAAACCGATTCGAGAAACAGAGGATGACGCCAAGAAGACGAATCATGGAACCCATCATGATCGGAAAAAGGAGATGGGATCAACGAGCGTACCTTCGACGATCTCGAGCCAAGAAGCCATGGGGAAGAAAGGGGATCGGGATCGCAGTGGAAATTTTAGCTACGAGGGAGGCAAGGGATCTCGTCGCAATCCAATGGAAGGGGACAGAGGCCAGAGAGGGAACCGGACGCTTGCTAACTGTCGCGTGGAGCTCTCACGCGTTGGTTTGCTTTCTTGCTGTTTTTTTCGAAAATAGTATACTGAAAGCATAAATCCATAATTATCCTCACGAATTGTTTTTTTAAAAAT